CGTGAACAAGGCTGACGGAGTTAGCCGAAAATCTGGGTAAGTCTCAATTTACCTAGTGTCCGAAAATAAAGTTTTAGCCTTTTCGTCATAATGCATTCTACCAACATAGATGAAATTTCATGCTAATAAGTTGTAAAAACTAAACGAAATGCGTACCTGGTAAGCAGATGAGTTGGAGCTGTTGCCATAGCAGCTCGATCCTTGTTCGTTGACCGTACCATTGCCGATGCGATAGTAGATGTACTGTTGCCGAAGCGACGAATTCATGAAAAGTGCCGTAAGCTGCCGATAACATAAATGAACAGCTTAATGTATCGATAGATGGATAGATTTTTTCTGTCCACGCCATGTTGATTGATGTAAAATAGAATATGAGAGTTTTTTTCAGCAATGGAATTTTTTGGCAATGGATTGATTTTTCTAAAGGAATTTGTGTCAAATTCTGTCAGTCGGACAGGCTCTATGACAATGACGTTAATGCCCTGCCCTATCATCGGTGTATATGGTGAGATAATCCATGGTCAGGTGCGATAACCACCTCATAAACCACCTCGTTCACTATGGTCACTCGGTGGTTTATTCGGTTTTCATCGCACCAGACCATCTGTATCACCTACCACGAAGAATTGGATCGGTTCCACCGTCACAGGACAGTAGGGTTTGATCGCTTCTGTCGAAGATGGATCCTTGAATCGAACTTTCTTGTCAGACGTTGCAGTCATCTCTTCTGCCATCTTCTTGTCTGGGTATAACATAAACTCTCGTTAGGGAATACACGTGATTTGTGAAGATTTACCACATTTGTGGAAGGGTTGACATAACAGATGACTCTCACTTTTTCAAGATGTCAAACCTGAGATCAGACTGTAATGTTCAAACCACTCACACCCTGCTCTTTCCGACAAGTGTAGAGGATTTTACACAAGGTGTGATGGGACCTCCAGCTTTACATCCCATCCGAGAGGACGTCCAAAGCTAGCAATAGATACTCATTTACACCCAAATCAAGTGGGAAAATAGGTGTAAAGTACCTTTCTCAAGGACACAACAAACGTGTATTGTTTGTTGTGTAGGCTGGTGTACTCTCGGGACATGTCAGTCACGTTAATGCAGTGTGTCCAGCTGATGTTGACTCTCCAAACAATACACCATTAAAGGAGCCACGCCCTCATTGTCCGCTAGGGCGTTTGTTATTAGCTTTTTGACAGCTCAAAGTGTTACCAAAGGTTATCTGGACACGTGTTGACAGTAGTCATCAGTAATCCGGGTATGTATTATGTAACATAGTAAGACCTTTGAAACTATTGCAGCATAGATTGACAGTGGTGTCTAATTAGTATCACTGATTTTTTTAATGAATTATTAAGTTTACTGAATGCACTATAGTCTACCTCCTGTTCAAGTCAGGATTACAAAAGGAAGGGGGTTGGATGGTAGGGCTGTACAGTTCCAGTAGTGGACAGTGAATTACAATGTAGCTGGGTATGCAACTGATCTTTAACCTCCAACTGATACTATTTTAGTCCTGTGTACTGCACACCCATGCACTTTGTTCCCGTTCGAGCAGTCATGTGGGACCTACCACAGGTGCCCCTTCTTGGTCTTAAGGAGAATGATACACAACTCTGCATGTCTAAATCGTTAGCCACGGAATTCACACAACAAAAACCAACAACATAATGTCAGCAATCTCTCTCCTGTATGAAAGAGTTAACAGGTTGGGTTCTATTGTCTAGCATTGTATACACGTAGTCTAGTTCATAAGCATCGACATTTGTACTTATAATTTACATAGTTGCCCGCCTCTAAATTTAGATTGCGAATCCGCAATTTTTACCAATAGTTGTTTCTGTCATGGCATTTTTTAAATCAAGCACTATACAGCCCCCCGTAAATATTTTTATCAGGTTGGAAGATACTTAGGGTATAGAATTTTCTTCTTACACAACCATTAAGTTTCTCACCTGCTTACGTCAGAAGCTCTGAGGAAGGTGTCTGATAGACATCGAAACGTAAGCAGGTGAGAAACTTAATTAATGGTTGTGTAAGAAGAAAATTCTATACCCTAAGCCCTATACAGACATCGTACAACGGCATTTGACTAGTGTATCCATACTTAGCAAGGAAAATGGATTTTATTACTGAACGCGATTGAGACTAAGCACATTTACTTTAGTCTAAGTTTAGAAAACAAATGTCTTCCTACCTTTGAAGCACCTTTCCGCACAGCAACCTGTGGCGCTAGTTGGCTATGTTTAAAGCTTAGTTAGACTTTGTTTTATCCGCAAATATTTTACCTGGGTCACAGTACTCTAGGTCATTTTGGGACACGCGTGTTCTGTTCGCTTAGATTATATAATTGTTTATATTTGTAAATATTGTCTCTGAAATGCTGTGGAACACGAAAATCATTTCATCTCTAGTTGTTCATTTTATGACGATGCCAATTATTAGAGCGAATGATATGAACTTGTAGATGTGATACGTTGTACAAAGTTATACAGAGTTAACTAAAACAGTTACGTAATCAGGATGTTGTCAAAAATACAAGGATGACGTATCGCCTTACGTCTCTTGGCCAAGATCTATTTTGTTGACTTTTCTTTCTGTCTCCAGGCCGACAGAAAATCCAACAAAATAGAGACTGGGACCTTTAAAGGTAAAATAAGCAATAAAAAGAAAGACATCCTAAAACAGGCCAAACCTCTGCTTGGAGAGTATACAATGACATGCAAGAATTCCCTGTAGACCGATCATATCAATCAAATGAACCAGTTCAACCAATGATAGCATTGCAATTAATAGTTCGACCAATGAAAGAGCGGCTGAATTTCCGTGAAATATTTGTCATCAGTGTGTCCAGTAGGGATCTAACCAATGCCTAGGGTGGAGGGGGAGGACACGCGTATACATGAGTATATATATATGAGATAGAACAACAGATACACTGTGCATTCAAAAGCTCTATCTGCAAGAAAACTTTTTACTAACTGTGCAACAATTCCTGAAGGATTTTCAGGGAGGCATTTCCGTTCTCTTAAATACTCCTCCAGAAAAAATGTAACAGTCCAAGCATCAACCATTAACCATGGAGGTGTGTATTAAGTTGACAACTCCTGTCTGAGTTGACAAAAGTATCAAGAAAGGGACCTCACAAAACACCATATCCTTATACAATTCTCTTAATGCAAGGTATTTGTTCATTTATCTTAAATAGAAAGGCAAGCAGGTTAAAATAAGGTTTTAGTTTCACAATTCTACCGATTTACCGAAATGTTACAGTCCTGACCAATCACAAGCGAGAATTTTGGAGGCAAATTCGGCGCTAACTTTTCCCACCACTTATAAAGCTGAACCTGCACGGACCAGCATGTTGCTCCCGACCCAGCGTTTTTTGGCGGCATATAAGGTAATTATAAGCTTTTTTTTCTATTAAATATTCCCCTAGTCGTAGAATATTACTGTTTATCCATGTATTACCTTCTGTAGTGTTCACAGAGAAATTGGCGTATTTGGAGATGACTTGTGAGAAGTTTTTTTGTAGGATTTCACTGTATGTTCTTTGATCTGCATGTGCTTGACGTGGCACCCGTCAAGCTTGTCTGGAATTCGTACATTCTCCTGACTGTAATTCCGTGAACATCTAAAAATTCTTCATTTTTCGGTGAATGTGGTACAGAAGATCATAAAGGCTGCGTGTAATTGAAGTTTCCAACCGAATTTAAGCAATTTTCTGGCAAAATATTGGTCAAAAATTACTTATGGCCAAAAATTACGGATTCGTCCTGTCACCTGACAACCACGTGCACCCGTCGTCCGACCTTACCGGAGATGTTTTGTCATTATTTGACCAAGAAGTGAAGTTTTTTTCGTACATTTACCTCAGAATCATCTTGAAAATTGCTCCGGCAATTATTCGTGCTAATCAGTGTTTCATTTTCTTTGTAAAATTGGCAATATTTGATTAACTGTATACTAGATCCCGGGCCGACGTTCCCGCCAGAAATCCTGTGGCGTTTTATAAAATCGTTAGTTGTTGTTTAGTTAGTATCAAATGTCTGTATCAATAACCGGTGAATGTGTGCTTCATTTGTATTTTCATTATGATGACATTCTCTTTTCAATGTTACTTACACCAAGGAGGTTTATCCGTTATCGTTATCTGTTTTGATTAAGCTTCGTTTTGGCTGGTTTGAAAACCATGACACCTATTTTATTCTTCATTGCAGATCAAAGCGGCGACTGGCTGAACATTTGCAAACTGCAGCAACGATTGAGGGAAGGCCATCAAAGAGTGGAATGAACTTGGGACTGGCTTTGCTGCCCCCCCCCCTCCATGTACCCATGTACCTATACTAACAACACTAAACATACTTGTCTTGTTACTTGCACTTGTCCACGTCTATCCCCATTTTCACCCTTTGTGTTCACCTCCCCTAACTAACAACCACGCAGCTGCCAGTAACCTGCTCATCCGCTGCATTATGGAATCAGTCGTAAACATGATGATGAGGAAGGCTACCAGTTCTTCATTTGGGTAAGCTATCTATATTCAACACATTTTCTACCTTTCAAAAAGAGTCACCTCTTGAAGAAAAAAAATTAAATAAAATGAATTATATATTGACCTCTTTTTATTCTTTATTCATGAAACTATTCATCGGCTTTTCATACATCCTTTTTTTAAAGCCTGGGTTGTGACCTTGTTTCTAGGCTTCTTATATATGCTTCCAAGTACATTCTAACGTTTGAATACATAGATTTCTGATATTCATAATAAGATTCTCTTACATTGCTCTTACAGCATTGTCTAAAACTTTCCTTTTCCACACAGGGCGCCCCGTGAAGGCAGAAGATGGAACTGCAGCACTCCACGGGTTCTGACTGAATCTGAACTGGAAGGATGGTTTGGATTGTGGATTGCATTTTGGGGCTCATTGCTTTCTACCAGATGTCTCCTTCGAAGGAAGCAAGCTTCACGAAGACGACTAGACCAGATAAGATTTTATTTTTTTCCGTCAAACATAGTGAGTAAGGGTTGGGGGGCGTTGGGAGACTTTATATTATATGTCATCTCTAGTGTAAACAATTTATGTAGGGAATGTTTGGACGTTGGATGTGCCTTGTAGGAATTACTCCATTGCAATATTTATATCAATTTGTCACATAGAAGTTTGGGGAGCAGGGATACAATTTAGTTAGTGTTGTAGAGAAGTAGGATTGTCACTTGTCATAATGTAAGAGATTGTATTGAGTCTAAATTGAGTAAATGAAATTGAAATTCTTGGTGGTATTTTGTGCACCTGTTTATGCCATGGCTTGCTCTCTGATGCTCACATGCACTTCAGAGTTAAGTTCAGTTTAGATTTAGCAACGGTAAGTTAAACGTAGGGACCGTTAGGGAACGTAGTTAGTTGTCGAAGTGTGTGCTGACACAGGGAGCAAAATCCTGGCCTTCAAAAAGATTGTTTTTGTATAATCACGAGGCACACCAAAAACTTAGCTAGTCCGCGATCTTTAAGACTAGCACTTGTGATTGCATTGTTTACAGGACAAGTCAGCCCGCCCAGCTGAGATGCCAGAGGTAAGCCATGTTGGGACTGCATGCTTTACTAACATTTGCTTTTTCTCCCTTACCAAATTTGGGGGGACCTAAAAATTCGTGCAGCACACACACTTAGGGCCAACCCATAACTAACCTGTCTTTTTCCTCCGGCAACTTCTGCCATTTTATGTTT